AAAAAAAAAAATGAAATAAGGATGACAAGATAGTATAATATACAAAAATAACATGAAACACAAGAAGAGGAAATTTCAATAACAGAATCTCGGAAATAATCTTTTTTTTACTTTATCTTAAATTTGATTGTCTATTTTACAATTTATATTAAAACAAATCAGGTATAACTGCAAGTTAGATCTCAAACAATTCTTTTTTTTAATTTATGTATTAGCAAGTCTAGTTTGATAGTACTTTCAGTAATAGTCAATCAAAATTCAATTGGAAGTTATGGTCAAAAAARCTTTAAATGCTTGATTTTTTTCAAAAACACTGATATATAACGAATATTAAATATTATAATTTGTTATATTAATTGATCGTTAATGGTAAATGACAACGAGATTCAAGACAATAATATTATGAGTTTATGACATATGTACTTACCCACATTAATAACAGTCACAGTCAAAGTCGTGTAAACCATTTGTAATTAAACAACAGAATAAGTTAGACACAGCACTATTATGACAGAAAATTAAAAACAATTGTTGAGATGGATTATCAAATCAAATGGCAATACTATGTACCTAATAAGTACTAACTCATACGGCAAAAATATTATTTCGTCATAACTTACTCATAAATCATTAGTCATCACTCAATATTATTAAAATATAGGTAAAAATAATAAGAATAAACTAGGTATCTTAGATATCGTCATAGCATCACACTGCTTAGTAATTAAAAATTAGTTTTGTGACAGATGAATACATGATGGATATTAGATTCAAGTATTGATTATGAAATAGAGGACTACGGGTATTAGTAGTTAGCATAATAATTATAGCACAACAAATTAAAATACCTAGTATTATTCTTAAATCATAATTTTGATTTACATTACGTAAATATCATAATAAATAGTAATAATATTATGAAATATGAATTTATCATGATGTAAGCCGTAACTCGTGAGGTGATATTATAATTTAAATGTAGGCTCTGTCCAACGAGAGAAAAAGTTGATTCTACGCATGACCAATGAGTATTGAGTAATGGATCATAAATGACAGCCGACGCCGGACAGCCACGAGCCAATTGCCATTGAGATTCTACTCCCAGAGTTATTGCAAAGTCGAGATGTCGTTTGAAGATGCACAGAAATTCTAAAAGTTCATTATATCATGGAAGAACCGATTTTCGAACGTCGTACCGAGTATTAGTTACCATTTACTATTTACCTTTTACTGTAAAATTCAATATTTATTTATTTTTCAATTCACACTTCTTTAATATTTTTGACTTTTGTCTCCCTAGTTGTTACTTATTGCCCAGTAGTCGAATTGTTGTAGGTGACAGCTTGAAACTTCAGTGTTTGAAGCTTTGTCAGGTTCGGCAAAAACTTTGTCGTTTGTGTTTCGCATCTATCCTCCATCTCGGTAAATCGTTTCGAGTTAGCACGTGGTTTCCGAACTGCCGTGTTTCCGACGGAGTGAAGAAAACCCAGTGAGCCTTTGTTTACAATTCCTTATTAAAGAATCAAAAGCAAAATGCTTATTACAGTGCGCGAACTGGAAGAAACTCTTAAAATGATAAAATTGTACGAGTACGAACTGATCAAACGCGACAAGATCTCCCAGATGCTCAAAACACGCGTTGCCGAAGTAGTGAGGTCCAAAAAACGAGCTGCGCGCAAAAGAGCTAAAATGATTCAACGTCGAGTACTGCTAGCTCAAGAATTGGCAATCGTAACAGGTTCCACGACACCGGCACCGATAGATCCGCAACTCCAATTCGAGTTCGAGTACATCATGCACTATTTGAAGTTCAATGAGCCGATTGTTGATGATCTCTTTCAATCTCTCAGCGAGGAAGAATTAAATATCATACGCCCATATCTACGATAACTGCCAAAAATGGTGAGATCAAAAGACAAGGAAACGTAAATTTTCAAAGAKCCGAAGAAATGGCCATTAGTATGTACCCAGTAAAAAATTTTTTTTTGTTACAATTTAAATTATAATCCATTTATCTTTATGCAAATAGTTCTAGTATATTATTCTAGTTATTATAACAGTTGTATAAATTATATTTTGCTTATTTTTATTCTCACCCAATTTACTTTCCTTATATGATATCAAATGTTTTTATTAATTGTAAATTGTTTGCCATTTGTTAGGGTCATAGAAAATTTGATGTAAGTACACAATGCACATTGTCTATATTCTATGTTTTTCTATAGGTATTGAGAATCTAATAACCTACTACTCAAGTTACCTTATATTTATGCTGTTTCTTGGCTTACTTTTTCAATTTTTTTTTAAGAGCTGTGATGGTTATATTCCACGAGCTGTTGCTTAAACTATCGAATAGTAGGTATTACTCAAGATTTTATTTAGTATTTATTAATAATAAGTAATCTAGGTAGCTATTGAACGTTTTTACCTCAGATTTAATGTTATCAATATACCTAGTATTCATTTAGTCAGTGTAATTTTTTCTAAACAACCACCTAATATACTAAACATTTGGTTTTCACCTACTACAGAGAACAGAACAACAAATAGTCGTTTTTCGGATATAACTGAAGACACAATATAACATATAACGCAGCATCACAGTCCATAATCCGTGGTGCTCCACTAGATATCCTCTGTCGACTGTCRGTTGTAAAAATTTTAACCTCAGGTGAAGTTCCAGTTTTAAAAATGAATTAAAATAAGGGTTTGGGGTGAGGTTTTCTGGTTCTTTTTCGTACAATTCCTGTTAGCCTTCCCTCTTCCTACAATAATATTTTTAAATTGTTATATATGGTTCTGTAGTGTGATATATAAAATAAACTTTATTAGAAAGCAAGAAAAAATAATATATTATTATTGTAGATATTTGAATGTTGAATATTATGATTGTGTGAATGATATACGTTTACTATTGCCTCTAAACAGTACCTATAGGTTTATTAGAAAAAACAGTAAGTTAATGTTAACCATTTGTTAAAAATAGATCAAATTTTGTATTTTGATCCTGAAGAATGTTGACAAAATGGAATTATATTATAGTAAACTTTTTTCGTTGGAGGTTTCAATACATAATATTGCTACCTACTACCACCTTTAAATTAAATCATAATTTGTAGAATATTGTATAATATGCCATGATTGTTTGAACGGTTGTGGTTCTAGCTATAAGCCGTCTCAATCAAGTGAATTTTATTGATTCACAATTACATTAAAATCATTTACCTATAAAAGTATAAACATTATGGGTTAAATAGGTATATAATTTAATAATTAAGTTTATTATTCAGCCCACGCACAGTTTWAAACATACTTAAAGACTAATACTCAATAGTCATGTAAATTATRTTCATTATTTAATAATAATATCTTAAACTTAAACCGTGGACGGTGGACTCCATAAATATCTATTCTGTGCCCATAAAGGCCATAAGCCCATAATACGTATTAGCAATATTAGGTATCGCCATCAGCTGTCTACTGACTGGCAATGGCCAATGCGATACGGTTGGTTTTCGTAACGGTCATATGTACACTGTCTCTACGCTGGCTACACTGTTAAGGCGCAGAAACAGTGATAATCAATCGCGCAAACGAAGCAAATCGTAAACAAATAAACTAGTAAACACTAAACAACCCGGTCCGAGCCGAGGCCCGAGAGTTCAAGACTTCAAGTTGAGATTTAAGATCAAGACAACAAGTATTTAAATTAAGTTATTTATTTCGAACACTAGTTTCTACAGGCTTGTGTCATCATTCGTGCTTGTCGATATAAATATTTGTATTTTTGCATTCTCCGAGTCTTTCGTTTGATACGAGAATTTATGGGACCACAGACCTCTCTGTAATTGACGTGTGACTTCGAACCGGCGGAAAATGGCACTCCGGACATACGGCGACAAGCCAATCAGTTTCCAGGTAGAAGAGAATGGCGAATACTACTGCATTGGATCCGAGGTAAAACAACAATTTTCTCCATAGTGCCATTTGRCAATCACACTTTTGATGGTCTTTTAATAATTTGTTCCTTTTTTTTGTATCATTTCAGGTCGGCAATTACTTGCGACTGTTCCGTGGTTCTTTGTATAAACGGTATCCGGGAATGTTTCGCAGGACCATTACAAATGATGAGAGGAAACGTTTAATTGATTTGGGTAAGTACCTATTTGCATTTTAAGGAATGATAAATTTCAATTTTCTTTACGATTACCTATATTTAATATTTTTTTTTTTAATTTTAATTCTCAAGTGTTAAGTGATTACTAAAACTATCTATTAAGGATTATACATTGTACAAACAGTATTGTATCGAATTTTTAATTGTGTCCAGGAAMAATAGTATTTTATTTTATTGATTTTATCACATTCCTAAGGTTATAATCATTTTAATATTTATTTATAAATATATCTTGTTTAACTTTCTGCAATAAATAAATAAAAAGAAAAGTTACATACAG